CCCCCCCTCCTCCTCCTCTTCCTCCTTTCTTCTATTTATTCTCCTCCTCCTGGCTCCTCCTCCTCCTTCTCTCTGCAGACCCCCTTCCCTTCTAGCCCTGACAATGTTACTTAGTTGGATAATGAAACGTCTGCAAGAAAAGAACCAAGCTCAGAGATCACCAAGGACCCTATAGTCCCCCTCTTCCTCTTCCACTCCACAAACCCTACTTCCCTTCTAGCCCTGAGGATGTTAACTAGTTGGGTAACGAAACGTCTGCAAGAAAAGTACCAACCTCAGAGAGCACTAAGGATCCCACAGTTCAGTCCTGAGCTACAAATATTCTCGGCTGTTGGTACAGCTGACTGTGTTACAAACGCCCTAGCAGACAGCAAAATCCATACCTCATTTGGACATTTGAGTTTCCCCATCTGCTTTAGCATTTTCCTCAGCCTTTCCCTGTCTCCTAGTTCGCTGAGAGGGACAGCAGCTTCCACAGGAGCAGTCTAGAAAAAAGAAATTGGTGGGGGAAAAATAATTACCCACTCACATCAACTGTACAGGTAAACCTCAACTTTGGAAAAAGTGCAAAGAAGAGCAATTAAATTCATGAAGGGCCTGGAGACAAAAACATACGAAGAATGGTTTGCAGGAACTGGGTATGGTTAGTCTAGAGAAAAGAAGGAATTAGGGGGGACATGATAGCAGTCTTCCAATATTTGAGGGGCTGCCCCAAAGAAGAGGGAGTCAAGCTATTCTCCAAAGCACCTGAAGGCAAGGCAAGAAGCAATGGATGGAAACTAATTAAGTAGAGAAGCAACCTGGAATAAGAGAGAAACTTCCCCACACTGAGAGGACAATTAACCAGTGGAACAGCTTGCCACCAGAAGTTGTGGGTGTTTCATCACTGGAGGCTTTTAAGAAGAGACTGGAGAGCCACTTGTCTGAAATGGCATAGGGTCTTCTGCTTGAGTAGGGGGAGGACTAGAAGATCTCTAAGATCCCTTCCAGCTCTCTATGCTGATTGATTACAACAGTTCATTTAGTGACTGTTCAAAATGAAAACGGCACTGAAAAAAAGTAACTTATGACCATTTTTCACACTTACAACTGTTGGTCAATTGATCAAAATTTGGAGGCTTAGCAACTG